CCTCAAGATGCCCATAATACTACATCACTGTTTCTTTATGCTACAGCTGGGGTCCGCAGATTGCCCGATTCGGACTCTAAATGGCTTCTTGACAATTCTTGGTCCCTTTTAAGAAGCTCACCATTCTTGTGCAAGAGAGAGTGGGTGAAGATCATTAGTGGGGAAGATGAAGCTTTTTTTGGATGGATAGCTTTGAATTATAATGCTGGGGTATTAGGGACTACTAGACCAAAAAAGGAAACTTTCGGTGCACTTGATTTGGGTGGCTCGTCACTACAGGTCACATTTGAGAGTAGTCAAGAGAGTCCCAATAACAATAATAATGAGTCAGCTGGGTTAAATGTGAGAATTGGCCATCTCAATCATCAACTCACAGCCTACTCCTTGCCTGGGTATGGCTTAAACGACGCTTTTGACAAGTCAGTGTCTTATCTTCTCAGGAAGAAGCTTCCTAAGGTAAGTGGTGCAGATTTGTCCAGAGGAAACGTTGAGATCAAACATCCCTGTTTGCAGACTGGTTACAAGGAAAAATATGTCTGTTTTAACTGTGTTTCTCTGTCTCCAGAAAGTGACAATTCCCCCAGTGGCGCAAGAAGAGAATTTAGTAAAGGTATTTTGGAGCTGGTAACATGTCTTTATGTTTGGTTTTACCTTGGGAAATGCAAAGGAAAATGAAATATGATTAAAACAAAATCACCCAATTGAGCACGCCTAGCATTTTGTTGTCACCACTGTAGCACACAACAGTTGACCCCTATTTTTAATATTTCACGCATCCTAAAATTTCATAGTCCGTATAATAGAAATGAATAAATAAATTAGTAAATAGGAGTCTAGCATTTTTTGTCACATTAGCCGAATGACTAAAAATGACGCCATTGAGTTCACCACTGTAGAATGCAAAAGTTAACCACGTAACCCCTGTTTTTAATATTTCATGCATCTTAAATGAATAGATAAATAAATAGGAGTTGAATCTATCTTTAACTTTCCTTTACTTGATTTTCATTCTAATTTTCTCTTTATTTTATTTCCTTTAATTTTTCTCTCATTTTATTTCGTAAAGGAGCAAAGCACGGAGTACCCATTCAGCTCATTGGAGCTCCAAAATGGGATGAATGCAATTCAATTGCAAATAATGTTGTTAATTCGTCTGAATGGTCTTCTGAATGGAGCCGTCCCCATCCAAGTGGACAATTTTACGCAATGTCTGGTTTTTACGTGGTGTACCGTTTTTTCAACCTGACTTCAGATGCAACCCTAGATGTTGTTTTACAGAAGGGTAAAAAGTTCTGCAAAAAAAAATGGGATGTGGCCAAGAAAAGTGTTGCTCCCCAACCTTTTATAGAACAGTACTGTTTCAGGGCACCATATATTGCGTTCCTGTTGAGAGAAGGGCTGAAGGTTAAAGATGGCAATATCATTATTGATTCTGGAAGAACAACTTGGACACTTGGAGTTGCTCTATTAGAAGCGGGAAAGGAAGTGTCAGAAAAGCTTGAGTTTCAGAGATATGAGTTATTTCGGATGAGGGTTAAAAGGATTCTTCCGTTGGCTGGTTTAGTTGCTTCTTTGGCTGTTCTTTTCTGTGCATTTTTATGTATTGGAAACTCGATTCCAAAGTTCTTCCGGAAGCCGTACCTTCCCATTTTCAGGCATAGTAATGCATCAACAACCTCTATTATGCCTAATCCTTTCAGGTTCCAGCGTTGGAGTCCAATCAGTACAGGTAAATAACATATACACCAATTTTAGCACCCACTTTTTCCAATTTGACCTCGCTTCAGTACTATCCATTGGTCAAACCCTGGTTACACTTTTGCAGTTTGCTCATTATTTCCTCTATATTTTTCAATCATTGGTTTATAATTTGGTTTTCAGTGTTAATGAATACTTTTCTTCTGATTTCTTAAATATAGTACACTTGTTTTCAACCATTGAGTTGTACAAATTTTATGTACTACCCCCCGTGTCTCATGTTAGAGACATAAAAAGTTATGCTTTCGTGATTTAAACTTTGCTAACTTTTTGCTTCTACCTTTTATCATTTTATACATCATTGGCCTTTTACTCTTTGTGAACCCATACTCCATTTTTTCCTTGCAGAATGTTACAATTGTAAAGTAACATATAGTGATCAATTTTACTTTCCTAAAGCCTGTCCATAACCCAAATGACATATTGGGACAGAGGAAGTAAAACTAAATAGAAATCATAAACTGTCTCATTCTCATTTTTCTTTTCATATTACTACTATCTGTACCTCCACCAACATGCAAAATTACAAACACTATTTCTTGTGTTCTAGGGGATGTGAGAGAGAAACTACCACTCAGTCCAACAATAGCATCTACTCAAAGAAATGGATATGGTTTCGGGGTGCACCTAGGTGAAGGCCCTTTGCTGTACCCATCATCTAGTGGTGTATCACATAGTAATTCGTCCAGTTGTTTGGTAGGGCAAATCCAATTTGATAGTGGTATGGGCTCCTTCCGGCCCCCACACAGAAGCCAACAACGACTTCAAAGCAGAAGATCGCAATCTCGAGAGGACCTTCATTCTTCATTGGCTGAGACCAACTTGGCAAAGGTCTGAAATGCTCCCCGTCACTATTTCCCTCCAAAGATAGTCTTCATTATGAAAAGGATTTGCACTCCAGGGTTGCCGTATAAAATGCCACGTGGCAGTATATACTGATTCCACATGTGTCACCACAAGGAAGAAAGGATAGTTAGCTGACTTTTGTGAAGGATTTGAAGTTTGTGAATAGTCTTCTGAACACCCCCCTGATGTTTACATTGACTTATACATAGGTTAGTCTTTTCTCAAAATATGGGTTGAGAACACTTGTGTAGTTGTGGGGGACCCTCTGGCGGGAATATTCCCTCCTAACATCCCCTTGTTCCAATTGGTAGCAAACTTCAGATCTTGAGTTATAAAGGTATATACTGCTCTTGTTAGAAGAGAGCTTCAGATCTTACTTTATGGATAGCCTTAGCTTTTTTGGGAGTAGGTGGCTCTGAATTCTTGGGGCACTCTAAATTGTTAAATGATTATAAACTTCTATGACCATACAGAGATGGATATACAAATGCCACTTGCTGTGGCGAGTTTAGGAAGAAAAATTGTGAGGCGTAACACAATAATGAATTTAAGCTATTTTTGGTGGTGCAGTCAAAATTATCGAAAACAATAGAAAATTGCTTGGTTTCAATATCTATTCGGAAATAAGATGGTGAATATATCAATTATCAAGTTTTCAACATTCAGTCATTTGTATATTGTATATCATATCATTATTCTTTTTAATATATTGCATACCAAATCACAAAATGTATTCAGTCATGGGGCAACGACATCTTCATCCCAAACCCGGAATTTTGACCACATGTTAGACAAACAAATGATGCAACTATTGTTGCAATATCAAGGATGATTTTTAAATCTAGAAACCATTTTTGAAATTGACGAAAGTTGTAGGATGATGACTTCGAGGAGGAGCCCCGGTTATGGATGGACCCGGGCCGGTTCGGGCCCGGTTCGGGCCTAGGCCCGGCCGGGCCTCGGGTCTGTTTTGTTGGGCCCGAGCCCGAACCGGTGGCCACCGGTTCCGGGTCCGGTTCCGGGCCGGACCGGGCCGGGCCGGTCGGGCCACCCGGTTTAATTTTTTTTTTTTCCTTTCTTCCCCCACCCCCTCACCCCCCACCCCCCCAAACCCCCCCAAACCGGCCTAAACACATAGCCCAAGCCCAACAGCCTAAAACAAATGAAAAAAATTAAAAAAAAAAATAGATTTGGCCCGGACCCGGGCCCGAACCGGCCGGGCCGGGCCGTCAAAACCATGAACCGAGCCCGGAACCGCCCCACCCCCGGGCCTCCGGCCCGAACCGGACCCGGACCCGGATAACCGGGCCGGGCCGGGCCCGCACAGTAGCGGGTCGGGCCGGTCCCGGGCCGGGCGGCCCGAACCGAGGCCATGCCTAGCCCCGGTGGAGGATACGAAGGTGGGGATACCCTCGACAAAGAGCAAGGAAGCAGTGCTGGTTCATCTGAACAACCCGACCAAGGTTACACTTTTTAAAAAAATTGTTCTCACCTTTTTCAATATCATTTTAACAAGGTAGAGGATCATTCGGACAACAAGTGGTATGCACATTACGTGATTAATTAATAAACTTTTTCTGTATCTAACGTTCTCGTGTGAGTATGAAGGGGAAAAGTTTGATATTTTGAAATGGTAGAAGAACAGAGAAGCGATGTTTTCAATCTTATCACCAATGACAAAACAAGTCGTGTCCATGTTATGAAAGAAGAGTTTAATCAAAGTGACAACATCCTCATCGATTATAGAATGAGATTGATAGCGCAATAACTTGACAGTTGACACTCGTGTATTTCCACGTTTGGTAGAAGGCCTACCAACTCAAAAACTAAACATAACACCAATCTATCACTTCATGGAGAAAACATCCAACTGAGGAAGCAGGAATTCCGAAGAATAAGAGATTTGTGTAATCTTTCTCTATTTACATATTTTTTAACAATTATGTATTTACACACATAATTATATGTGTTATGTACACTTCCAATTTGAAATGTTTTGCAATTTTCAACTTATAATTGAGTAGTTTTTTTATAAATGTACAAGTCGATTTAATGTTTCAAATAAACATACATTTCATTTTTATACATTTCATTTTTAATGTGTATATTTTTTTGTTGGTATTAAGTTATTATCATTATATAACTATAATTAAAAAAATTAGCCGAACTTATTCAAGACCGGGACCGTTAATGTCCCGGGCTTCAAGAAAAAATCCCTGGGACCAAAACTAGACCGAGACCGGATCCGGGTCTATGCCTACTGACAATTTCTGTTAGTAAACTTACCTCAACTACACAAATAGTTAAATGTAACTTCAAGTGTCTCAAATGTAACTTCTTTCCACTCCATCTTTCTAAACACAATGTTGTGTTAATCGAACCAACAAACAGCAACCGGTCTCTTTCACGAGAAAGGAATAATGATAACTCATAAAAAAGATATTACTAGTCATTCACTCTATATATCTTTATAATAAATGTCTTCGTACTAATCATGTGCAACTGAACCAAAAACACATGCATTTTCCCAACATCAACTAAAATTGATGTTATGACGTAAGAGAGCAAGATCTACAACCGCTACAGGGATCTCAAGAGAGTTAAAAAGGAGGATCATAATTTAATTTCATTAAGCTTCAGCACAAGTTATTATGACCATAAAATAAAATATGATATGATGATGTATCCCAGCATAACAGAGTAGTTGTTTCTAATCCTCCACAGTTGCACTTTCAAAATAAGATCACCCAACAGTTAAAATAAGACTTCCTCGGATCAGGTCAGCTACTGGTCAGCCACTGAAATTAAGCATAAAAAAGTCAAGGCAAAAATTAAAAGCAAGTTTGTGATTCTTTCTTAAACATTATTAAGTTTCAATTTAGCAGTGACATTGACACTGAGTGCAAAATGATTTATGAAGCAATTTCTAGTAAACCTGAATTATTTAATGAAAAATGACAAAAGCCCTTCATGGATCATCGTACACCTACATTGTGAAATTACTCTTATATCCTTAAATAGGTACACTATGTTACGGAGTGATGATTTTATGGGGTATGTACATCACAGTATGACCGCGAGGGGCAATGTAGCAATAATCTATTTAATTAAATTTTGGGAAAAGTATGAGGACGTGTGAAGTTGGAACCCAAAACCTCGATGAGTGAAGTGAAAACCATGAACTTCATGACAAACGCCACTTTAGCATCATGAACAGGAGACATTTTTTTTTTCCGCAAAAATAAAAGGTATTTAGGGAGCTAAGTGCACAGTTTAAATACTCCAAACATTTTAGGATGAGCACTTAGCATCCTAACCTTGCATTTTTGAAATACATGATATATGCCCATGTTGAGCTTACCTAGAATATATGGTTCAAGATATTCATTTCACAAATTGAAGTTTAGGGGTGCTGAAACCACACATCCAATAGTGGAGTGCATTTTAATCAATTTTCCAATAAATTTTTGGTTGTTTGTCGCTGCCACATCAGCTTCATGCAAGTTCTCTTTAGACCAGCATGAGCACTCAAGTGCACAAATAAGACTAAATTGACAGCTATCAAAACGACCACAATTTTGAGCAAAGGCAGCACATTTTTAAAATTAGGCCAAGAAAAAATATAACGAGCATATGAAAAGAGATGTGGCAAGGTAACAACAACTACCTATGCTTCAAAAAAGAATCTATAGTTCAACCTTCGAGGTTGGCGTGGCAGTGTTACTTGATGAGAAAAGCCATCCAAAAACTCTTGACCACACAGTCTGGGTCTCAGCGCTGGGGATTGCATTGCAAAGGGCGTTGTAGTCATGTTTCAAGTGAGAAGCAGCTATTCGGTTCTGTGGAAAACCAAGAATATGAATAAACATGAGATAGTATGTGAACCCTGGATCTAAATTCATACCCAATTTCTAAAGATTATATACCTTAAATACTTCAAAAGGGCAAAAAGCTGATCCATTGCAGCCCTGCACCCAAGAATCAATAGGTGTTTAATCCCTAAAGCAGGTGGATACAAAAGCAAGTGTGGCATTTTCATAAGAAAGACCAAGATAGTAAAAGACTGTTCCACAGTAGTTTGGAACCCCAAAGTTGTTTGGTAAATATGTCAAGTTTAAAGTTCTGTATGTTTCTAAAAAATAGCTTGTTGCGGAAAACAGAAAAGATCAAAAAATTCAGGAAAATGACATCTCATTTTCCATTGATTTTTAAAGAATCCATGAAAGTTTTTCCAGTAAACACATAAAGCTTGAAGACAATTTAGAAAAACAAAATTGGCCAAAATAGGATTAAGTATTGTCAGGCTTGGACAATACTGCCATAGTAGGGCATTAATATTGTCATATTAATACCCGATAATGCCAAAATATGGCAGTACGATTTCATAATGGCGGTACTTTACTCTTATTTAGGGGAAAACAAAGCACTCTTGTTTAAGGAAAAAACATAATACTCCTATTTTGGGAAGTCACACTGTTTTACTACTATTTTGGGAAAATTCTCTATAGAAAATCCCCAAATCAACTACTCATTAACAAACTAGTTGCCCGCAAGAAAATGCATCAATGCTGAGGCCAGCATTATAGTTGACTGGAAAGTTAAAGATTTAAGGCCCATGGATAAGCTCATAAACTTATTAAGAACATTTTCCTTTATTTGATTAACTTTTCTGGTAAAATGACAATAATATCCCTTGTTTTTTAAACCTTAAATGGTGTGCCAATCACTTTTCATAGGCATCAGAAAGAAAATCTAGATAACAGACTCTTCAAAGGCATGCCAAATGCATTAGTAAAGTTCTTCAAGGAATGGAGGGAGACATGGAATATGTATGGCTATAAGTTCTCTCATCATAACTGCTTTCTCATTTAAGCATTCAGGGTTGCTTGGTCGAACTTTTCGAAGTAAAAGCATCTTTCTTCCTCTACAAAACACTTGTTTCCTTGAAATAAGTCATCTTTAACGCAAACGTGAGCATTAATCTTAAAAAAACTTACTGGCATCGGAATGGGATGTTCATTATGCAACACATGTACATAGTACTTGTTCGACTCCTGTGGTGTGGAGCAGCTATACAGTACTAGCATGTTATTTCCGGCAAAAGGTGCGACTACACTTCCCCGCCAGTTTCTCTTCCGGGGAGGCTTAGCAGGAAGTTGCAATGCTTCTTCTCTTTGAATTCGTTCGAATTCTGAAACATTTGGCACACTCCATGACTCAGAAGGAAAAATCATTCACCAGTGGGTAGAAGTCGAGATGGCATATAGAGCAAAATAACTTACCAGATTCTTCAAGAAATAGTCCTATCAAACATGAAAAGGGAAGCAAGGTTTCTGCATGAGCAAAACGTAGCCTTGCCTTTTCATAACTTCCAGGAGCATGTCCTTCTACAGGAAAAAGCGAGAATTAGAATGAAAGATTGTTTTAAGAAGGGGATATATTAAAACTTCCCAATTCGACTAAACCATAACAAAGCCTCACTAGGAGTATTATTTATGCTGTTGTTATTATTGTAAAGTGTTATAATAATAATAAAAAATATTGTGTTAAAATAATAGTAATAGTTATTATTATTATTATTATTATTATTATTATTATTATTATTATTATTATTATTATAGTATTACTGTATTACCTCTGTCCCATTGTGAAATATAAAAAGTAAAAACTGTGTGGTTAAAGTTTGTGTAGAGGAGACAGAAATAAGTTGAACCACAAATTCAGTAAAGTGACAGGTTTTGAGACTAACAAAAAAAGGAAAGTTGGCAAAGTCCAATAGGACGGAGGGAGTAATAGTTATCATTATTATTATAGTCATAGCTATTAATATTATTATTCCAACAATTATTATTGTCGTTGTTGACTTGTTATTTGGTCCATTTCACCTTTTCGCATGCTGTCTTAGATAATTGTTGCACCTTGACAAGGTCCCATGGCTCACACTTGATTATTAGATAAATGGGTTAAAAAAAAACTAAAAAATCAACATTAGCACCTATTCATAATAAAATATATGTTCCCTTGGAATATGTATCCCCAGAGATAAAAGCTTTTCATGGAAACTGTTACCTTCTTTAGCCTTGATTGCTTGTTCCATAGATTGAACCACATCTTCAAGCAATGGCACTCCCATTCTGTAGTTCAATGAATTACCATAGCCTTTAATTATGAACAGTTCCAAGTCGTCAGTCCACTCCATGAGAGAAACCTAATAAATAAGCCATTAAATAAAAAATAGAATGTTCAGTGTTCGACAGACAACAAGAGTTCATGAATGATAAAATGAACCCGAACTCATGTTAAATCATTACCTACGGACTATCCAAAAAGCAGTAACGAACTTAATAGACCTACTTATCTTTTACCAAAAAAACTATGTTGTAGAGAGGAATAAAAACGAGACAATAGTGAGACAAAGAATCATACACTCATATCGTTCTAGAGTGGAATACTAAAAAGAGTTGTGCTCGAGGTACATATACTCTTACAGAAAAGTTTACAAAAGAGGTATGTGGCATCATCATACGGAGTATTATTTAACACATCACATCACTCTTAAATCATTTGAAAGTTTTTTTGTAATTTTGTTAGTACTTGTAGCACTTTCCTACTAAAAATGGATTAAAACTCTGCTTATGGACTAGCAAAGAAAACCCATATTATTTAGAGTTTTTCTTTATTCAACTGTTCAAGAGAATGGTACGCGATGATCAACCGGGTAGAAGGAAAGTGCATCACCAAAGAAAGTACCTCAGTTGGACTGAAAAGACTACAAGCTTGACCAGTGATGTTTAATAAGGACGCTTCCTACACAAATAAATAAATAAATAAACAAATAAAACTCCAGATCAATAAAAAAAAACTGGTATTCACTTGATCACAATCATATAACACCACTGTTACAATACTGACCTGCTTACATAGAAACCATAAGGAAGATATATCTTGCCGAGTAAAATTAAGCCCATATTTTTTTATAAATTCCTGAGTAATTTCATTCAAGACAGGCTCCTTGAGCTTGTCAAGAGTGGGTTGTTGACTTTTTCTGAATCCCTGGATAAAAAGGACATGAGAATTAAATCAGGCATAAGTAGCAAATTAAAATCTAAACAGGCATGTTGAACTTTTCCCTTTCAAATGGAGAATGGGAAAATAGTCTTTTTCTCCTTTTTACCTATTTGACCACTCAGCACACTAGATATCAACTGTGTTTTTATTATTTATTATATAAAGAGTCTTTTCCCGAAATGGGACTAAAAAGGTTCGAAAATTCCAAAATAGGACTGCCGTGTTTTTATTCCCAAAATAGGACTAATTACTGCCAAATTTGGAAAATACTGCCATGTTTGAAGTCTGGTACTGCCAAAACATGGCAGTAATTAGTCCTATTTTGGGAATAAAAACATGGAAGTCCTATTTTGGAATTTTCAAACTTTTTTAGTCCCATTTTGGGTAATATCTCATTATATAAAATATTTATTTATCAATGTTTTCATTATTTTTTGGGTTGAGAATATGATGGAATAAAGCAAAATGGCTCACTAAATTGTATGCGCTTCTTTGTTATGAAGCAGCAGTCGGTCCATGCAACTTTGGACGCGATTTTCACTATGAATCATCCGGAAACAGTCTCTTTGTGCTTTAGTGCAGGGTAAGACTACGTACATCCGACCCCCGCCCCCCTTATCCCACTGTAGGTGGGAGCCTTTGCGGCGCTGGGGTAAATGAAAATGATGATGATGATGATGATGATTTATTTATCAATATCTTAAATTCAAATATAATTCTGAGACCTCAACATAGGCATCATCATAGTCATAATAAATCTGACTTGGTGAATGCTTATCTGAGCCTAAAACCCTCATTTTTTAAAGTATACAAAATTACCTTGTAGCTTTGGCAACAATCATGAAATCTGAGAATTATATCACTCGCACGGCTTTCACTGATAACTGCAAATGCTCGATTTTTGCCTGGCCCAAGCTTGCCTCTTGAACTAAAGAGACCCATGCCAAAGGCCACAGCACTAGCTGATGCCCGAGGTACCTAAAAACAAACCTCTCTTTGACTAATGCACGAATAAGATTACTGAAGGAAAGAAGCATGAAATTAAAATGATTAGACTGCACTTAAAAACTGTGAACGACAAGTTTATTTAACAGAAACATCTTCCATATGTGCCTCATAATCAATGACTTAATGAGACGTTTGTATAGTACCAAATCAGAAAACACATTGATAGCCCCCATCCACTCAGATAATCTACAGCCGTATCAGACACATGGCAGAGAAACCAGAAATTATATATTTATATAAACAAAAATGAGCTTAAAATACTACAATAATACTAAAAGAGGGAGAAATTCCCATCATATGACTAAAAAGCATGTTTGACCAAGGTTCGAAATTGCGTATTGCGTGTTTGAGGCGGTTTCTTAGCATTGCCTATTGCGTAAGCCTCATTGCGCAATGAGGCGTAAGCCTCAACTTTTTAACAAATTTATTTATATAAAAGAACAAATAATGTAATTAATACTAAAATAAAAGAATAATTAAAAGTAAATTAATGTCGTAATTGCGTGTTGTAATTAATACTAAAACATTCCACTACGTATTACATAGTATATGCTCCACTATGTATTAAAATAACAATTAATGATCCATAATATTGATTGACAGATCCACTAAGGCAATATAAATATAAAATATTATAATACTCATGTTGTCATGCTCTAAATTATCCACTACCGAGTAGCGGAGTATCTTTTTCCTACCCATCCAGAACATGTATCAATAAATTAATAAATAGTTAAACCCTTACCTTGAAGAAAAGGATGCAAGCAGAGAGAAGGTTGCAGAATGAACCTTCTGTGGCGCAGAGAAGAAATCAGACGAAGTAGGAACTACTAAGGTTGCAGAGGTAGCTACTCCTAAGTACGTAAACTTGTATACTACGCGTCTAAGGTATTTTTTTTTAAATTTAATTGGGCTGCAGCAGACGGCCTTATTTTTTAATGGCGCCTCAACACCCGATTTATTGCTAACGCAATAAGCGTATGCAATTTCTAAAAGGGCACATACTTCCACATTGCGTAATTCCGTTTCAGCCTTGTATCCTGGAATGTCTAAAAGTCGCAAGGCTAGCCTTATTGCGTAGAGGCGGAACGCAATTTTAAACAATGTGTTTGACAGGAATATGACTTGTAAACACAATACATGAGTGACATTTATGTGATAACCGTGAGTATGATTGCCAAAAACCAAGCAACACATCACGAAAAAAACTACTAGGTCATACTTTGGGAAATAGATGATCTTTTAGTCATATGAATAATAATTTTCTCCAATTAGAATGACCTTTTTCCTGCCAAGCATCATAAATACAGAAATACCAGAAAATTAAAACAATAGACCACCAACCTGTGACGCCTTGATTGTATAAACATCAGGATGATATTCCTCGTTAAAGAGGTCTGGAAGATACTCTCTGATTCTTACCCCAAGATTGTATAGTTCATCTTCTCCTTCAGCGATAAGTTCTCCACCTGTACGCTTTCCCTTCCATGGAGATTTCCATACACGCATCCAGCCAGGAACTTTTTCTAAAGATTTCCTTTTTTCTTTTGCATTTTTCACGAGGACTTCTAAGTGGTCTGCTAAGCCATCTAACTCCATTATCTTTTTCTTTGTTGGAGCACGAGTGCCATGCCTCGCCTGTCAAACACATTTGTAATGCTTATTAAATATAAGCCTCATAATAGAATATATTGGAATCACCTTGAAAATTAAGGCCATGTTTAGCACAACTAGCTAAAACGATACTTTTGGGATATTTTTAATAACTACGCAGTATTAGCTTTTGGTGACCGAAACGATCTTAAAAGAAAAAGGTTGTAATCGTTTGATAAAAACCGACTGTTTAATTTAGTTTTCTTGGGTATAACAAACTGTTGAGATTAATTAATACTAAAAGCAACAAACTTTCTATCAGAAGCTAGTCAAGCTACTCAGTGTAGCTTCTCAAAAAGGATCTTAAGTTTTAAAAAAAGCTCTTAACAATTGTTGTGCCAAACATGCATCGAAGTACTTTTAAAGACTTTTCAAATAGTACAAAAACTAGATGGTAGGGACTTATGCCTACCAAACATGCATTCCTAGTAATCTCTTGCTATGAACATTCTAGCCTTTAACGGCAAAATCCATCATATCATCATCACCAAAAGATTTTAGGGTCGGCTAACATGAACCCGCATATGAAATTGGAGTTAAAAACTACACCAAATATCATTCTCACCTTCATATGAATGATAACAAGATTAAGTTTCAAAACTGTCATCATCATAGATTATTTTCAATTGCAAGGAAAATAATATGAACGGATGGATGATGAATTGTGAGTTGATACATTGATAATTTGGTACCGTAAAACCAACATGTAAATCATAAAACATGACTGCTGTAAATTCCCTAGCACAATCTCATAAATCTTCCTCTAAAAACATTGACTACTTTAGAAAGTTTTCCACTTAACTATCATATTAAAATGACAACCTGTCAGCTTCCCTACTCATCTGAAGCTTAATTTCATAGGTAAGTAAACATTTCGGAGTTAGGACTACTTAAGTCCACTAGAATTCATGTAGGTGCATGTAATATATATATGCATCATGAACTTAAAGCACAGTAGACAAGATTATAACCTAATCTTTTATAAGGTATGGTCATTGAAGGAAATAACCGTTAATTCTCTCTGGACAAAGACAATCTTCATAAGATCATATAAACTTACCAAAAATAGCAACAGGAAGTAGTATTCTTTACTAGAGAAACATGATCATAAGATATATTGCACCTTTGCAGCTATGCAGAAAATTAGAATGCATTTCAAAATTACCACGAGGTTTATGTGTATAGGGGTGCATTCATTGGGAATTTCCGGAGCTATAATCGAGTCTTCTGATAAGATATCCTTCACAACACCATATCTGCCACAATCCGAAAAGTAAGTATGATAAGCAAAACTTTAAAAAAAGTTGATGAATAATTAGACATTCACAATTGATCCAACTACATAAAAACTATATCGAGCAGTAGGCAGTCGAGCAAAGGCAAATTTCAAAGAAGAACAGATACGTAAAGATTGACTTAGAAGATGTTCATAAATCGATGTTATAATAGAGTAGAAGCATGCCTTGATACAGTAGATAGATGTTTCCGAACATCGAAAGCCTCTTCACCTCTAGCATGAAGGAAAAATCCAGCGAAAAATATTAACAAAATTACTGCAACTTTATTGGCCTTCTGCATTTCTTCACTTTTCTTCTCCCAAGAACCCCATCAACATCTACTTTCAACAGAGTTCGGGGGGATCGAGAAGCAACCAATGCGACGTCGTTTGTGAAACACCGAAACGCGCGCGAATCGCGGCGTCTGGGCTTTTTGAACGAAGAAGTGGCCCAAAAGTAACCTGCCAAAACTATATTGACGAGAAATTATATTCACATTGGCCCTTTTACTAAACACAACCCACATGTTTTATTATTAACTAAAATTCTTTGGGAAAATGGAAACTAATAATCCAACTTTTTAGCATTCTTCTAACAATAGTCTCACTTTTTCATTATTCAAGAATAAAGACGAAGCATAATACAAAGTATAATTGTAATAGCCTTTAACTAGGATAGCTGTAATACGAAGTATAATTGTCGCATAACTCCATCATGGGTAGAGGATGAAGAAGCAGCTTTTGTATTGTGGGTTAGGGGTAATTTAGATAATGAAAGTATTTTATTTATTAAAATTTAATTTAGAAGCGGTGAATAGCAATTTGAGGGTTGTGTATAGAATTACCCTTTAAAAAAATGGTGAAATATTCTCTTCTATTATTTGCAATCCGTCACTTAAGCTCATGTATTAAAAAAAGTATCATATAAATATATCTACTTTATAAAATAGATCAAATTGACAATTTACTCAATTTCTGATTTGTGATTGCAGGTTTTTAAAATTTTAAAACTCTAGAAAAAATTGTTAAAATTTGAAGAAATATATAAAAAATTGAAAATTTTCTAAATATAAAAAACAATATTTTTTATTTTTTAAAAATATTTGTATATTCTACATCTATTTAAAATATTTTTAATTTTTAATTTTTAATTTTTTATTTTCCCTTTATTTTTTCTGTTTTATGATTTTTTTTTTATTTTTTTTTACTTTAACGTTTTTAAAATTTTATCTATTTATACATTTATACTATTCTTTATATTATTATTAGGTTATTTATTCAAATCTATATGAATTTTTGTAAAATTTATCAATATTCCTAATTTATTTTTAAAAAATAACCTGCTATAGCAGGTAAAAGGGATTGCAAAAAGACAAATTCATATGGAGTATCATTACTCAAACAAATCGTTTGTTACCTGGTTTCAGGGCCGGCCCTGACGCTGTGTAGGCAGTGCGGCCGCACAGGGCCCAATTTGGGTGGAGGGCCCAATCGTTAATTTGGGCTAAAAGGCCCAATAGTCCGTCTGAACCAAATCAAAAAATCCGCTGCTCTTGGAACTCGTGATGTCTACATGAAGAAGAAAATGGCTTACCAGCCAACCAGGTTAGCTCGTTGAAATTATTTGGTAACTAGGTTTCAAGCCCGTGCGATGCACGGGCAATACATAATTTAGCTAATTTTCAATTTGTTTTTTTGGGATTGTATATAATATGATGCAAAAGCAAAATAAATTTAGTCTAAATATAGAGTTCGTTTGATAATACTAAAATTGGTGAAATCAGCTTATTTTACTAAAATTGATTAAATTCTGACTGAATGGACTGAATAGGCAGAATATCCTGAATTATAAAAAAACAATATACTCCATTTGTGAAATAAAGAAAAAATTATATGAAGAATATTTAAATGTTCTTCCACATAAGCATCTCAAATAATCATAATTATTGTGAACCCGATTTTAAAGAATTCACATAGAAGCTTCTTCATTAATCTCACGCCCTCTAAATTACTTTATTAAGCACCTCAAAATATATTCTTTCATATTCCTCATTCAACTTGATATGAAATATGGAGTACATACGATTTACTCATTATTAAAATGTACAAAAAATGGAGTATTTTTAATTTGTGACATTGAAAACGATTTTTAATTGTTATGAACGCCTGGATTACTTTATTGAGCATTCCAAAATAATTTTTTTTAATATTTCTCATTCAACTTGGTATGATATACGAAGTACATGTTTTTAAATTTTAATAGTGAAATCTAACATTTTACTCATTATTTCGTCACATTAAAAACTCCATTAACAAGGATGCTTTTAGTTGAATTAAAATTTACGGGTTTGATTTGGTCGGAAGTAATAGGATCTGGTAGATGTCTGTTTTACATTTTATGTGTTCTATTATTATTAGTATTATTATTATTATTATTATTATTATTATTATTATTATTATTATTATTATTATTATTATTATTATTATTATTATTATTATTATTATTATTATTATTATTATTATTATTATTATTATTATTATTATTATTATTATTATTATTATTATTATTATTATTATTATTATTATTATTATTATTATTATTATTATTATTATTATTATTATTATTATTATTATTATTATTATTATTATTATTATTATTATTATTATTATTATTATTATTATTATTATTATTATTATTATTATTATTATTATTATTATTATTATTATTATTATTATTATTATTATTATTATTATTATTATTATTATTATTATTATTATTATTATTATTATTATTATTATTATTATTATTATTATTATTATTATTATTATTATTATTATTATTATTATTATTATTATTATTATTATTATTATTATTATTATTATTATTATTATTATTATTATTATTATTATTATTATTATTATTATTATTATTATTATTGTTATTATTATTAAAGTTTGATCTGATCTGATCTAGTATAGACATGAAATCAATCTAATTAAAAACATCCTAAGATGTAAACATACAAAGATTTCCTAATCTGGATTAGGAATCTATTTCAAAAGTGATGTCATATTTAAATTGTAGTTGTAAAAATAAACAAATGAAATAAAAAGTACTCCGTATAAAAATAATCAAATAATTTTTACTCCATGCTTATAAAAAGTAGTACTCCGTATAAAAGTTGTGGATTAATAATTATTAATTTTTGTGGTTCCACAATGAATTTAACAATTATCAAATACGGAGTATGTGATATATAGGTTTTGATAAAGTTAGTTACCAAATAAGGTGGATTTTTATCATAAAATCTTTTGTTTCCATATCAATATTAAATCAAAAATAGAATCTAATAAAATAAATAAAAGGTACGTATTAAAAAAAGTACCTAGATTGATTTATGTGGCAGGATTAAATGGAGAAATCTATTTAAAAAGTACGTATATATGAAGGAGTATTAGAAAGGTACGTATTAAATGGAGTATTAAAAAAACTAAATACTAATTGTTATATATGATGGATGACATGACAGGATTAGGTGGCGCTTTGTATGCTCTTAAAAAGTTCCTCTTTTATATATATATGATTAGCTATTCAAATACTACGTATAGAATATCTTTAGTGAAATTAATTAACATTACTTCCAATTCATTGTATTACTATATGTATAGTTAAGTACGGAATTATTTGTATTATTACTTTACTATACTACCGTACTCTGTATATACATTTGTAAGTTACTTTCTTCATTTCCTTATAGTTACAATTCTTATTAAGTTGGATTTCCTTTATTATGATATTTTTTTTGTTAGCAATCAAAATAACTTTTTAATTACATTTTATACTTAATTTTTGTATTTTTAAGTTCATTATTTTCACTACATGTGTAATATATAATTACTCCACCAATCTCAAATTGAGTTGTAAAATTGACTTTATGAGTCAAACAAATTCATTTTATTCACTTAATTGGGATAGTAATTTTTAATTAAATTTTAAATTGGATTTTAAAATTTTATAGAGATTTTAATGTAGTTTCTGAATATGTAAATTTTAATTATTCTGTATTAAAAATGAATTAATTATTAATATGGAAAATTAACTTTAACATTGAGGCGGAGGTAATATAATTTTTTTAATATAGGGTCTTTTATTTAGTTTTGCACAGGGCCTTTAATATTCTAGGACCGGCCCTGCCTGGTTTACAATACAATTAGGAATAACATCAAAATTATTTTCCTGATTTAACCTTGCCAAGTTAACATATGGACAATACGATTCGCAGACCATCTTTAAAAAGAAAGACCGAATGTTCTCTTCGTTTGTAACAGACCTCGAATAAAATAATTTAATATTGCTATCCACCATTCCACCAAGACCTGCACAAAAACGGGCTCGGGCTGGGCTCGGGCCGGGCTTTTTATAAATTTTTTGCCCATCATGTGTGGGCGGGCCCAACCCGGCCCGCAAAAACGGGCCTAACTCCATGTCCATACCCGCCCGTAAGAGCGAGCCGGGTAATCCACCGGGCCTCCCGGCCCGGAAAAACATTAAATTTTTCTAAATTATATAATTTTTTTAATACTTTAATAATAATATGACAACATTTAAAAAATTGTTAATACGCTTATAATATTTATAAGCCTTTCACCACATACAAAAATAATACTTACATAAAAATAATAATGAGAAACTATATCTAAAATTTAAATTTCAAGCAAAAAGTATTATCTTTAAGTACAAAAATAGATACCATATTAGTTGGACTAGTTGTTAAGAACTAAAAACTTAAATTTACATATAATAAACTATAAATATGTATAAAGGTAAATTATATTAGTAAATATAAATATACATGTGTACATGTACATAAATAAATAAATTAGTATACACACACACACACACACACTAAATGTAGCGGGTCGGGCTTATCGGCCCGAACGGGACTACACCCTAACCCAAGCCCGCCCATATGTTATTGCGGGCCGGGCCTGGGCCGGCCCGGTGGGTAAATATATATGCCCAAGCCCGCCCATTTGTGTTGGCCGGTTGGGCGGGCCGGGCCGGCCGGCCCGGTTTTGTACAAGTCTAATATTTCCACCCCTACTTAATTAAATAAAAGCAATTTAAAAATAATTCAACTACCTAAATTACCCTTGTTAAAAAAGAATAATGACTCAAGCAAAGTACTATAAGAGCATCACCAACGGGGCTCTTTTAACATTAAAAAAAATTGCCACGTCATTAATTTTGAAAGAAAACGAGTAAATTGGTCTCCAATCCGTTCTTTCGTTAAGTCTTTTAAGCTGATATGGACTCAAAGCTTTCAGATGCTCTGTTAGAACTCCCAAAGGTGTCTAACACCCTGACTCAGCAATTCAGGAGAAACGACCGCGCCATTCCAGAAGATTTAGACTAGAGCGCGCCAATCTGAAAAATCAAGCGGCAATTCTTGAAGACTAGGGCGGAAAATTTAGCAGCAAATATATACCCCAATTCCAAAACCTCATATTTTCTTCCCCTCAGCCTCTCCTACATGTCCATCGAACATTGACCCTACCCTCAAGTCTTCTTCGATTCTGATCTTCCTGCGACAGTGGCTCAAATCCAGCCGGTGAGCATCACTTAAATAGCGTGAAATTCTGAAAATGTAATTCTTTTTGGTTTTGTAAGTCAAGTTGGTTTTGTCCCCGCTGCTAAAACTGTGTAAAACATCAATTTTTTGGAATTAAAGAGTGCAATCTATTCTAGCTGCAGTATTTTTTCAGTTTATATTAAATTTTAATTATTCTTTAGTGTCTTTAATGTTTGGCTAGTGATTTAATAATTTACTAAGTAGTATGTATGATATACTCCGTAGAAGACTATTTGAATCATATGTTATTATTTACTTTGTTGAGTTTTAATACTTTAAAGAGCAAGAGTGCTAATGGATGCAGTAAGAATTAAGAACACTACCATCTTGTTATTGGAGTGTTTGAATTATTCATTTTGATAATTTAATATATCTAATGTTTATTTGTCGAAGTAGCATAAATGGATTCCAATGACTCAACTGAGTTTACAAACACGAGACAGGCTTCTGGTTACTCCATGCCGCCAACAAATATGAATCAATTTAGTGTTCCATCTAGTTACACAATACTACCGCAAAGCCCGAATCAATTCAGCCAACCTTCTGGCTACACTTTCCCGCCTCACAATTTGAACCATTTTACTCCATCCATCTATCCTGTTGATCCAAAAAATGGAACTTTTCCTTTCCATATTGAGCAACATAACACAAATGGATTCTCTTATCCAGAATTGTTGAATGCACCCATTGTGAGCTCTCAAAGTTGTGAGACCAAGAAGACATCAAAAAAGAGAGCTAAAGATGCCCATAATTCTAATATTTCTCAAAATCTATGCCTGAACCTTCACTTCTTAAAAAGGATTGGTCTGTGGAAGAGGAGGTTGCACTAACAGAGGCATGGCTTTATATTTCTATGGATGCTGATGTGGGTAATAACCAGAAAAATGCTGCCATGTGGACTCGTGTCATAGAAGTTTGGAAGGAAAAAATGGGTCCATCTCACAAGGTAACAAGAAGCAATAATAGCTTCCAATGTCATTGGTTCCAAATACGATCAGACGTAAATAAATTTGTTGCGAAATATGAGCAGTTGGAATGACATCCACAAAGTGGCACAAATAAGGATGACTTGGTAAGAATCTTTACTCATTCTGACATATTTTTTAATATGCTCTTGAAGAAGAGGTGGACTAATAATTTTATTTAAAACATGTAAAATTTTAAAATGTATGACATTTAATGACTTCATTTTTGAGTTTGAGTTATTATTCCTATGTTGTATATATGTTAAATAGGTGATAAAAGCATTACGCTTATATGAGGATTTCTATGCAACTCCATTCAAGTTTCTTCATTGTTGGGAAATATTGATCAAGAATTCAAAATGGTGCTCACAAACTCTTACAAAGACAGGTGTATCAAATAAACAAAGTTCAGATAATGGTATTCCACCAACACTGAATGAGCCTTTAACTACTATGCCTGAAGATGTTTTACCACCAAATGATGCAAAACCGGATGGAATTGTGAGACCAGAAGGAAGGAAAAATGCTAAGGCTAAAAAGCGAAGGTTACATGATGAAAAAGACGTGGTAGCGGGTGAATTGAATAAGCTGCAGTCCACTTTGGAGAAACAAGTTGATATTAATCAAGCAAGTATGCAAATGAAAGAGCAAGTGTTGATGAAAGAAATTGAATTAAAGGAAAAAGCTCAAAGGAGGCAACACCAGAATCGCATTATGAATCAAGATCTTAGTAAATTGTCACCATCAGTTAGAGCTTCTAATGAAGTTATGCAGGCAAAATTTTTGAAAGAATGGGAAGCTGATGGTATTTTCTAGTCTAAAAAGTAAGTGTTGGTATTATATTAATGATTGTTTGATTTTAATGTATTTTGTTACTAATATATGAAAATAGCTTCATTATTTTAACTCATTTGTTTTCATCTTTTCATCACTTGCAGGTTGCACTTGAGAGGAACACCATTTGAAGTTTTTTATTTAAATTATTTCATAAGCAGTCCATGATAATGATCAAAGTTTATCCTTTCTTTCTGGTCTTTTATGTTTCTTTATTTACTTAGAACACAAATAATATTCTTATCCTTTCTTTCTGGTCTTTTATGTTTCTTTATTTACTTCGAACACGAATAATATTCTTATCCTTTCTTTCTGGTCTTTTATGTTTCTTTATTTACTTAGAACACGAATAATATTCTTATCCTTTCTTTCTGGTCTTTTATGTTTCTTTATTTACTTAGAACACGAATAATATTCAGTTTATCTCAGGATTTTAGTTTTAATACATTAAATTGTGTCATATTTTCCATTCATGGTAGTCATTAATGTAGTGCTTGTGTAGTTATCTTAAAATAAAGTTGCTTGACTTGAATGTTATTTAATCTTAGTGCTGAATACTGTTATAGTTTATACGAATTTATCTATAGAAAAACATGACCTGCAGTGTGCTCTATTAAGCTTAGAATTGTTATGTGATGATAGCCAAATTCTATAGCAATTTATATAGAAACTTGAGGGACATGACAACGTGTGTTAGTGTAAAAGAAGTGAAAACAGCCCTAGGCTCTATAATTGTTGATATTTGTTAAAATCAGTGTATGCATCTTAAACAATTTCAATGACAGAAAACATCTTACTACTTAATATATAGTCTGGGTAAGCAGAATGTAAAATAGACGATTTAATTTGTCTAATATATATAGCATCTAAAAACATGTAACGTGTAAATATATAAGTTATTCATAGATGCATTGCAGAACTCTTAATAAAATAGACATTAACTAACTCAACAAATTAAAGACACATCAATCTCTTGACAGAAAAAATACAAATCAATCTTCAATTTGACCACCATACACTTCCCATAAGTGGTTGATAAGATCACGTTTCAGATCTTTATGAACTCTTTTGTCTTGTATTTGTTTCATTCTATTGTTTATCCTCGACATTAGATAGGTAAAATCATGCTCTAGAGTAACGTGTTCAACCGCTTCATCGCTTTCTGGCTGCCTCACTTTCAATAATCATATTATGCAAAATGATACATGTCTTCATTATTTTCCCCAAATCAGTTACACTCCACATACGAGCAGGGCCTTTTACTATATGCCAACGACTTTGTAACACTCCAAATGCTCGTTCTACATCCTTCCGTATAGATTCTTGACATTTTGCAAATAACTTCTCCTTCATAGAAGTTGGTTGTGAGATCGTTTGGATTAGAGTGGCATATTGGGGGTATATACCATCAGATAGATAGTAGCCCATATTGTAGCGATGGCCTTGTATCACAAAGTCACATGGTGGTGCGATATCATTAACTAAGTCATCAAATAGAGGAGATCTATCGAGAACAGTCACATAATTGTTAGTACCTGCCATGCCAAAGAATGCATGCCAAATCCATAAACTTTGTGAAGCAACAATCTCTAGAATAAGAGTTGGAACTTTTTTGAACCCATTAGTATATGTTCCATGCCAAGCAGTCGGACAATTTTTCCAGTGCCAATGTATACAATCTAGACTACCAAGCATTCCCGGAAACCCTCGAGCTTCACTCTCTTCTAATAGAGTTACGATATCATATTTATTTGGTTTTCTCATATATTTTTCTTCATACAATCCTATTATAGCATCACACAACTTTTTTAAGCACTCAATTGCAGTGCTTTCACCAATTTGAACGTATTCATCAAGAGAATCGGCTGAACAACCGTATGCAAGCATTCGTATAGCTGCTACAACTTTTTGTAAAGGACTCAACCCTATGTTTCCAACCGCATCAACTTTTTGCGTAAAGTAATTGTCATAATTCTCGACCGCATGCAAAATTCTTTCGAACAGCTCAATATCCATGCGAAATCGGCGACGAAATTTATCCACGATGTACTTGGACTTCTCACCACTAAAGTAATCTTTTTTAATTAAATCATGGCGATCTTTCCTATCACGATGAATATATTTTCTACCAATTGTTGACCCCCCATGTGGACGTTTATTACCCGCTAAAAGTGTAGAAAGTACAATTGGAACCTGAACAGCCGCAGTTTGAACCACAAAAGAGTTTGATTCTTCATCAAAATTATCATCTGTCAAAAATGTCTTGGTAATTGAAAGTGACTCTGTGCTTGATGATCCACTGGGAGAACTCGATTTAGATTCAGATTCCCGTGAAGGCATAGCCTGGAACATGTATATATTCAAACTTCAGTATAAAAATCATATTGAATATGAAAACAATCAATAATAAACTCAGAAACTATCAAATTCCGAAATCATTTTATTTGGTAATAAAAAGTAAATTAACACTAGTTACATGCAAATTATATGTGATAACACCGGCAAAACCAAATAAATCCAGTGTTACTATATCAAGCCAAAAATAATACAGATGATGTAAAATGATTGAACAGATTGACTAGTTTATGATTTGTAAGACAAAAGAATTACGGATGAATACCAAACTTGAGCAGTGCAATTTTTTATTTGGAAGAATATGGATTGATGATTAATGGCTTCCGACCTGAATTCCTTGGATGCGGCAGTTCAATCATGGTTGGAAGAATATATATGAACAGAACTTGGATACCTTTTTTATTTAGGATTGAACAACTACTCGTATATTGATAATAACGTTAAATGCCACGTAGACAAATAATTTAAGATGTTTACATTTTCCATTGGAGAGCTTTTATTTAATTCCCTTGATGTGGATAAACACGATCTCATATAATTGACATTTGGCAACATTTCGTCAAAAGCATAGGATTGATGATGCTCTAACAAGCAATGAAGGATACGAGTCCGTTGATCCCCATTGCCACTCACGTGACACGTTTGTCAGCATTCACCACTTCAGTGGAAAGCTTTAAATTGGTTGGCTCAACCCTGCAATTCTTTATTGTCCAACTTTCTTGTATGTTTGTGCCCCTCGCCCACTCCCGAGCCTTGCCAGAGGCTTCCCTTTGGACTCCACCTATGCCTGCTCGTGTTCCACTTTTCTCATTTATTAAGCCACCAACCAGAACTTCTTAAGTCATTGATTCAGAGAGATCCACTTAGTCGGAGTTTCACAGGGTGCGGAGCTGCCGATTCAAAGGGCCAAGAGAGTTATGCGACGGACAAAGGTTGATTCAGCAAGGCAAAGACTTCAAAATAGGGCGGAAGGAGTAGAATTTTAAATAGTACTCCAGACCTACTTCGTATTAAATTCTAATAGGTTAGGATGTTTTCGATTTCATTTTCAAAACAAATTAGACTGGACTAGATTCAAACAAAACATATCAAATCAGACTTAGATATTAATAAAATACACGTAAATTAGACGCATATAAAATTGAAATGAAATGAGTTTTTCCGAATGACAACATATGCTTAAATTGAACATATAGAACTAAAATATAAAAGTTTTCATTTTTTATATTGTGTGTTTGTGTGTTTTGATATTGTTTTTCATTTTTACATGTTTTACATTGTGTGTTTTACATTGTTTTTCATTGTAAAATATAACGTGATTGTGTGTTTTACATTGTTTTTCATTTTTTATTACGCAAAAAAAACATGTTTTCACCAAACACTATTCAAATCATAGTATTCACTCTTATTGGAATGATGATGAAAAACAAGAGATACTTTAGCGCTTTTCCCTTCGCTGCCCTACCTTAGCCCCCATCCCCAGCACTCTTCCCAACAACTAGCCACCTCTTCAATCCACCTTCCCAACCCAACCCTTCTCCCCAACTGCCGCACCGCCACCCATAACCCTAGCCGCCCACATTTAGCCATGCCGCCGCTCCCCTGGCACATTGCCGCCACCATTGTTGAAAGCATATCTCACAATGTATGTTACCACCACCGCTAAGATGAAACACTAAACAAAAAACTGGCAAGAGTAGTGTCAAAGGGAACGCCGTCACGCGAGAGAGAGCAGCATAACAGTTGTGGGAGGCGATGATGTAGGTGCAATGACGAGAAAGCCAAAGTTGTGCAATGACAAGAAAGCCAAAGTGTCCAATCCCGTAGCCCGCATATTTATTCCTACGGGTCGGGTTTGATCCTGGTCCCGGTCAATTGGGCCGAGTCCCAGGTCAGGCTGACCCGTCCCAGTCCATCCCTAGTCATAGGTACATACATCTATTATTAGCATCACCACGTAACTATGATTCTATGACACAATCATGCAATGACTAAGATGTTTTTACTTAAGTGAAATTTGTTGATTTGATCTAATCTATTTATGTCTGATATGGTCTGTTACATCTTGTCTCTTTTTATTTCATAGTTATAGAAGTCTAGTCTATTTTGTTTAAGTCTGGTCTGACTGTAGATGTATGATCTAATTTGTTTAATTAAGTTTGAACTGATCTAGGACTGAAAACAATTCACGTAAAAACATTCTAATTGTTTTGTCATAGAATGTTTTAATTGTAGGAGAATTAAAACCATGCATAATTAGTTGTATGTAATAAAGAATCAGAAAACTATATTGCTCGCCAAGAAAGCATAAATAAGCTGTATGTAATCAAAAGCTTGAAAACATTCTTTTTTATCATAGCAAAGCCATGGCAGCATGTTAAACCTAACACTTGAGGGACCAAAATTTTGTTACAAAGAATGTTAGAGGCTATATGGCTACAAGGGTTCACCGTCCATGCCTACAAGGCGTATTCCGAAACTTGGGAGATTCGTGACACTATTCATACAAAGAACACTTCGAAGGCATATAAGTAGAGAAGAAGGAAACGGGCTCTATTCATAGCAAGTCTTCTGTTCCGGTCAACTTAGCGAATTGGGTCTCATCAATGGCTCCTTTTTTTAGCTTCCTCAGTAGGCGGTATTCCCTGGCCATCTCATCATCATCTTCAACCGATTGAGAAGCACGCCTCTTCTTGGCGGTCTGTTTCTTCATATCGGCTTTTAATGAACTTGGGTTTCTTTTTTGTTTCTTCACTTCTTGCTGTTTTGCCTTTTTTGCCTCCAAGTTCTTTTTTCTTTGCTTCTCACGAAATTTGTCTCTATAAAAAATAATTGGAGTACCACACAAAAAAACACATGAAATGATTTTTACTCAATCATATTCACATTGAGCAATGTAAACCAAAGAGCAACTATCCACCCCAATGATGTGGATAGGAGGGAAATTTTATAACACATGTCACGTGCACACATTTGTGTGTAGGTGTTGTGTATGCATGCATGTATGTGTGTGTGTGAGCACGCGTGTGCATGTATGCATGCATGCACATATGTGTGTGTGTGTCACATGGTTCCCCACTTTCTCATCAAGTGTTTGTCCACGCTGTCAAGTGTCCAGCTCAACAAGTCCAGTGAAAATGGAAAAATATGTTACGAAGTATCATACAAGGTTTCATTAAAAAAATCATACAAGGTTTCACTTGAGTAATTGTTCACAGGCAACTAACATTTTGATACCTAAAAAACTGGACTCCTGAGTTGTATGTGATTGAACACATTGAAGTTCAAACTAAAAGTTCATACTTGTAAAAGTGCAATCCAGAAACCCTGTTTGTAAGGCTTAAAATGGATTAGGTGGCTGAGAATGCTAAAGTTGTGGCTGGAATATCCTCGATAAGTCTAGTTGAATTAAACAAAATCTGTTTAAAGAAACGGGTACAGGTACCAATTTCATCCAAAAAAGAGGCTATGCACCACTTGTTTTCGTTATTAGTTTCAGCCAACGCACAAAGCACAACGGAATAAGTGACAAACAAGTTAATCAGTTGGTGTTTGCTGAAAATAAAGCTGATTATCTAGTATCAACAGGCTCTGAAAGTTGAAAAGTGTGGTTGACCAACAGGGTAAAGTTCAGGTGGGAAAGAAAATATTTTTCCCAAGATGCTTAAAAGATAACTTAAAACCATAAATTATATTTGGAAATAAGAAACGATGCTAAAAATCAAACTAATCATTTTCACATTTTGAAGTGGAGCTCGAATGGATGAGAATACACAAATAGACGACACCTTACTTGAACTTAATCTCCTCCAGGTTTATATCTTTTACTGGAATAAAACCCTCAGTTGAAAGAGAGTGATGCTTCACCTCAGGTACAGAAGGAAGCTGCAATAAACCATATCCCATTCCAAGCTTTCCAATCTCAAGCTCTTTCCATCTGCAGGTAAAAGCACAATGAGTCAAGACACATTTATGAGTTTTTTTGCAGATAAAAGAACAAACTCACATTACCTGAAGATGTATGAGCAGTGGTGCTCTTTATAAGCACGGATATAAGACACGAATGCCCTGATTCCCTTTTCCATAACATCACGGTCTTTACTTGCTGCTAAACGTATCTGGAATGATGCAATTTTGATACAACTTACTTGATTTGATAATACGTTCAATAAACATAAAATATCAATACATAATGTTGAAATGTTCACATTCATGACCAGATTTAATACTCCCTCCATCCTAAAAAGAGAGTACTGTCTATTGGTCCCTAATGAGAAAAGTTACAAACTAGTGATATATGATAGAGAAATTCTACATGCCTTCACATTTTTACAATCTCTCCAATGCTCACTCGGTTACTGGTCCAAGTCATATCATGATGAGTAATGCTTTCCACGACCAATAATAGATATGTTAGATTGTAAAAAAAGTGAGTGTATCGAGCGTTAGATTTAAGAACAAAGTGAAAGTATCTAGTGCTCATCAATGTGTATTGAAACCAAGAAATATCATGATAGAGAAATGCTTTCCACGACCAATAATAGATATGTTAGATTGTAAAAAGGTGAGTGTATCGAGCGTTAGATTTAACAACAAAGTGAAAGTATCTAGTGCTCAACAAGACTTTTTTGGGATGAAGGAAATAACTTTTATAGCAAAAGATTTCTATCCAACTATAAGAAATAAATAATATGAAGAACTTGTCAATTGTCATGCTTTACAAAACTAGGAATGCTACAAGACCTTGACTTCAAAACTTTCAAAGAGCTCCTTTCTCCACTTAAATAAATCAAAATAAATGAATCATGTTAGGTAGAAGAAGATTCTTTTCCATTATAAACTTCTAATTTTATTGTTTTGAGATTTTTTAATGAAGGGAATAATCTTGCACTATAGGATTAATGCTCACCTCTGGAAGAATATCAGGAGCCTCATTTGAACATTCTCTTGCTTCGAGTGGAATTCTTCTTATGCGTAAGAATTCAACATATGCTTCCTCCTACAAGAAATGGAAACCACATGCAATAAATTAATGGTAAAGAGGAAATGAAGGTAAATGAGCAAAATATTGAGGCAAAAATTACAATTTTTCAAACATGCTCAATGAATAAGAGACACCTATGCCCTAATTAATACATGGAACACGTACTTGGTAATATATTTGACTTTTTTCATGACACTTGAAACATGACTAAATACTTCTTAATTTTTTCAAAAGCACAGTGTTGTTTCTTTTAAGGGAAAAGGGGTAAATAAGCCCACGTACTAACCAAAAAAGGTCAAATAAGCCCTTATTTAGGAGGCTCTGCCCGGTCGTTG